CAGTGACCATGAGAAGGTGGAACTCACAGCTTTCAGGTGACATGGATCTTCTTGACCTAAACCTTTTGGTGCTAAGGAGCAAGACCTTGGTTCCAGGGATGCTGGTGACACAGCAGTCGCCGTGCCATAGTGATGAGCCACTTTGGGACTGGAGAGTGATGCTCCCAAGGAGGGATGTGACCCCAGGTGATGCAGGGCTGAGGCACTGCCCTGTGCTGGCAATGTGTGCAACTTTTGCTTAACTGGCAGGATCAGGCCGTGGGAAAGAGAGTTTATCAGATTTGGTTTGGTTATCTGCCCAGCAGGAGGAAGTTCCCCTTTCGTCAGGCAAGCAGGCACAGCAGCACAGCCATGCTGGAAGGCTGTGGGTAACCCTGGGGACAAGCGGTCCTGCTTGGGGATGACTGGGGCTGAGCATAACAACCCAAGGGATTTTGTTTTCCTCTTGGTCCTGCCCCCAGGCTTCCACTGGGGATGCTGGGAGGGGCACTGGTAAGGTTAACGTGCGGCCAGTGCTCACCTGTCCCAGTGTGCTGGAATGATGCTGCGGTGCCAAGCTGGCTGTAGCACGCCTGGTTTGTAGGGCAGCCTTGGATGGAAATGTCCCTGCTGCGGCTGAATCTGTGTGTGTCCTTCAGTGTCCCCCTGATGTGCCATCTCCCCCCAGGTATGCCTTCACCGTCATGGCCAACATCACTGTGTACGGCCTGGCCTGGCTGCTGCTGAACCTGCAGGTGGATCAGCCTGAGCGCACAGAGCACCTGGGCATCCAGGATGTCTCTGTGTTTCGGGTATGTGGCAAAGCTCAGTCCCTGGTGGGATGTAGCTAAACTGGAAACTAAACTGGAAGTCCTTTCTTCCCCTGGTGGGATGTAGCTAAACTGGAAGGTACCGGAGGGGTTGAAGTGGCAGAGTCCCAGAGCCTCTTGTGCTGCACTGCTCAGGGGCTGTGTCAGCTGTCCTTGTGTTTTTGGGAACCCCTCTAGTCCACGAGAGTCCTGGGGGTGGAAGATGGGCAGGCAGAAGGTGCCCTGTACTACACTCACCCTCCTCTCCCTCCTGCAGAACCTGTCCCTCATCGTGGTGGGGCTGGGCGCCGTGTTCTCCCTCATCTTCCACCTGGGCACCAAAGAGAAGCTGCACCCGCTGGGCTCTGTGCCGCAGCCCCAGGAGAGCACACCCCTGCTGCAGAAGGAGCCCACGAGGTCCCCACGCTCACTGCTGGTCTGGAAGGACTGGCTGCTGGAGCCCTCCTTCTACCAGGTAACAGCAGACGTGGCACGGCAGTGCCAGCCTTCCTCACCTGCAGCTGCACGGGCTGAGCTGCCGTCCCTGTCCCTGTGCAGGTGGCAGTGCTCTACATGGCCACTCGGCTCATCGTCAACCTGTCCCAGACTTACATTGCCATGTACCTGACCAACTCGCTGCTGCTGCCCAAGGTGGGTGTGGGGCACGTTCCTGCCTGCAACTCGAGGTTGCCTGGACACAGCGGGTCCTGTGCCGCTGGTCCGGAGCTGATCCTCTCCCTGTGTTTGTCTCTCACAGAAATATATTGCCACCATCCCTCTGGTGATGTACATCAGTGGCTTCCTCTCCTCCTTCCTCATGAAGCCTGTGAATAAGTGGATAGGTCGAAATGTGAGTCCTAGGGGCGTGGAGTGGTTTGAATCAGACCCAGGGCAGCGTGTAACAACCTGCTCCTGAGCCCAGGGGCTGGGCAAAAAAGCCAAATCCTGAAGCCACAAATGAGCAGAGCACGTGGCACGCGTGAGCCTGGCTGCAAAGCAGAGACTCCTGCTGCAGCATGGATCCTATGGGGCAGGGAGAGGGATGGCATGGGCCTGACCTGCATACCTGAGGGTGCAGAGGTCTGGGGAAGTGATGTTGGTCCAGAGTCAGCCTGTCCTGTGCAGCCCTGGTGGGGCTGGGAGAGCCTTGGCTGTTCAGGAAGGGCAAAGGGTGGGCTTGGCTGAGCCACACTTGAGGTGTGAGAGTTTACAGCATTCCCTTCTGCACTGAAGCAAATGTCCTGGAGCAAAGCCCGCTCTGCTCCTGCCAGCTGGGTGCACAGACATCCTGCCCACAGCTCCCCGTTGGCTCCCCACCGTGGCCCCAACCCTTAGGCTGTAAAGCAGGCTGGGTCACTGCAAGGCCCCTGCAGTCTGGGGACTCCTAAGCCAGCTGAGAGCGATCCAGAGCTGTTGCTGTGAGACCTGGGGAGTGCCGGCCCTGCTGTCCTCCTCATGGGGTGTCAGCCGGGGCTGGGGCACGGCCGGACACTGAGCTCTACCTTGTCCCTGTGCCTGTCCCCTCACCGGCCCGGAGCAGCTGACGTACTTTGTGGGAATCCTGGTGATCCTGGCCTTCGCCTCCTGGGTGTCCCTGAGCAGGGAGATGGGAGCAGAGATCTACGGGGTGGCCGTGCTGCTCGGGGCTGGCTCCGCTACCATCCTGGTCACGTCCCTCTCCATGACTGCTGACCTCATTGGGACCAACACGGTACGTCTGTGCAGCAGCCCACCCCTGGTGCCCAGGATCTGGTGTGTTATGGGCTCTGTTGTAATTTGGGCTCTGCCCATGAGAGGGCACAAGGCTCTCGCTGCGGGCCTGCTGGGCTGCGTGCCGTGCGATGGCTGCGTGCCTGAGGCTTCCTCTCCCCTCGCAGCACAGCAGTGCGTTTGTCTACGGGGCCATGAGCTTCACGGACAAGATGGCCAATGGCCTGGCTGTGATGCTGATCCAGAACCTGCACCCGTGCCCGTAAGTGTCCCTGTGGAGTAGGAATGCACACAGGGACAGCTGCAGCCAGACCTCCTGGTAGCAATTAACCCAGGTTTGGAGCGTGCTCTTACAGCCTTGGCAAGAGACACGGGTAGAAACCATTTCTGATTTATCTTGAAGCCTTCCTTGATTTCTCTTTTGGTTCTAAGTGGCTGCATCTCAGTCACCTGAAGGGGTTCTCAAAGTCCAGAGCCTTGGGCTCTTCTCCCATGTCCCAGTGTGAACCAGTCCTGGGGGCAAGGACTTAGGGTCACTGCCAGGCAGTGGGATGGTGGCAGCAGCTCCAGGGTACTCTGAACCCCGCCACCAAGTGCAGCCCTGTCCTTTCCCTGCAGGACTGAGCTCTGCTGCCCTGCCTGCGTCAGCTTCTATCACTGGGTGATGGTGTTGGTCACTGGGGGCATTGCCATGGCTGCTACCGTGTTTCTGTGCTGCATCATGATCTGGCCCATCCGTGTCCGCTTCCGTGAGTGGGGCTGTGGGGCTCAGGGTGCGGGGAAGGGGCAGGCATGGGGCTGGGGACACAGGGAGCACCATGTCTGGTGCCAGCCTGGGCTAAAGCTGAAGTGTCTTTTCAGATGGCCCGGGTTGCAGTGGGAAGCTGCAGGGTGACCCTGGTGGTAGGCTTAGCTCCTTGTGCTTCTGCTGCTCCTGGCCCCAGAGCTGGGGTTGTGCCTGTGGTGGCAGGATCTGCTCTTGCTTTGGGAACACTGCTTTGGGAACACGTGGTTGCTGGGGAGCAGAGGGGACTGCTGTGCTTGCTGGCAGTCAGATGTAGGGCTGGGCTCCCTTCCCCAGGCTGGGGGCCAGCAGCCAGGGCTCAGTATCAGCTGCGGGGTGTCCAGGACTCATTCTGCTCTGAGTGGGGGGAGAGCACAAAGGCCCCCACATGCGGGGCTCTTGTTTAATGTTGCACTGGTGCCAGAGTCCAGACAGAGCAGCTCAGCCTGCAGTCACCCAGCCCCGCATGGACTCCTCACCTGCCCCTCTCGTCCCTACAGACGACATTGCCCTGCAAGGACTGAACGAAGCAGGGATGCAATACCACGACACAGAGTGCGCAGAGGACAGGAGCCCGAGCAGCACGGTCAACTGAGCGGCGCCTTCAGCTGCAGCGCTGCCCACACTGCTGAGCCTCACCTGGAGGGACCCCACGGAGGGGACGGCAGCGGGACGGGGGCTCGGCGAGCTCTGCCTCCTCTCAGGACTCGTCCCGCCGCGCTGTGGGGACGCGACGAAGGCTGTCCCCGTGTGTTTGCACAAGTGTAACACTAAGAGGGCCGGGCTGCAGGCGCGCTGCCGGACGGGGCGCCCGGCCCTCGGCTCTAACTCGCTTTGTAAGGTCAGTGTGTACACGTAGCACTTTTTTTAAAGAAAAAAAGAAGGAACAAACACAGCTCACCTCTGAACTTGAATAAATGCCAGTGTTGGCAAAGCCCTGAGCCATCTGCTCTGGTGTGGGATGGCCAGGCCCAGGGGCTGTGCTTGCCCTGAGCTGTGCGCGACCCCCAGAAGCAGCTCGGGCCCCGGCAGCCCCCTCAGTACGACGTGAGGAAGGGTCCCTGCGCCGCCGTCCGCGCACAGCGAGGTTTGTGCGCGAGGCACCGAGCGCGGACCGCAAGATGGCCGCCCTCAACAAAAATGGCGCCTACGGCCCGCGCCCGCAAACAAAATGGCTGCCGCGCGGGAGAGCTGGAGGGAGATGATTGGTTCCTAGGTGCCTTGTCCCGCCCCTTGCGTCCCAGCGGCCAATGGGAGCGTCCCTTACCGCACGGGGGCTGGTAGCCGCCCGGCGCTGCCAAGCCCTCAGCTGCGGAGCAGGCTCCGCCGCTTCCACGAAGGTGCGGTGCTCCCGGGACCGGGAGAAGGGCGGCAGCGGCCTGGCGGCTTTCCGGGCTCGGCTGTGCCGCGCCGCGGCCCGGGCACGCGGCCTTAGTGGAGCGCACGGCCCTCGACTGTACCCTGGGGCTGAAGGCCGCGCTGCCTCGGGCGGCTCCGAGGGGCGAGAGGCCCCCACGCACCGCTGTGGTGATCGCTGTGGGGCCCGGTGCGGGAGGCTGAGCTGCGCCCAGGCCCGGGCCCCAGCGGGCAGAGGGGCACCCGGGGACATGGGGCGCAGCCAAAAGGGTGCGAGGGCCCTGCACGTGGTGGGCACGTGGGCACGGGGCGGGAAGGAGGGAGCACGAGGGGGCGGGGCCTGAGGAGAAGGAGGCGGGGCCCGAAAGGAATGGAGGCGGGGCCTGTGCAGCACGGGGGCTGCGGTGAGCGATGGGGGGGAGCGTGCGGAGGGGTGCGCGCACACGTGTTTGTGCAAAGGCAGTGCGCGTGCAGGGACGGGGTGGGACGCGGCGTTGCAGGGCTGCTGGTGATGCAGTGATGCGGTGCTGGGCTGCAGGCTGAGCATGGGGAGCTGCAGCAGTGCGGGTTCTGGCCGCTCCCTGCAGCGCGGTGCTGTGTCAGCACGGGGCAGGGAGCAAGGGTGAGCGGGGCCGGGCTGGCAGCCTTGGCACCTGTCCCTGTCACCTGCGGGCAAGGCCAAGGGACTGCCCTGCTCCCCTCGGGGCTACCTGGCAGTTTGGTTTGGGGGGGATGTGGAGGGCTCAGCCCTCCCTTCTGTGGGAGGAGGGATACTCCGAGCCCCTTCCCCCCCCGTGGGCAGAGGGGGGTGGTGGCACCCAGCGGTGCCGGCACTCACACACCTGGCAGACCCCACAGAGGGCTGTAGGCACGGGGTGGGGGTGGGCATCCTGCATCCCACCGGGGATCCCACGGTTGTGCCATTGTGGTGGCGATGCCCTTTACAGCCCCCCCACGCCCATGTGCTTTTTGCTCCGTCCAGCCCCACCCGACGCCTCCCTGCAAACCTGCTGCGGCCGGTCCCAGCCCCGCCTGCCTGCCCTTCCTCACTAGGAGGAGGAAGAGGAAGAGGAGGAGGAGGCTGTGGGCTGAGGCTGAAGGAACGCGTGGGAGCGCAGGGCTACTTTTCATTGGGACGGGACGGGAGGGCTCAACTCCCCACCGCCAGGTACCACCTGGGCTGGGCGGCAGCCTCAGCGCAGGAATTTTGCTCTCTGCCTTTCGATCCCCCATGTGTCCACCTTGGGAACCACAGAGGGACCTGGGAGCTGCCATCCGCTGCCTATGAGCAGGTGCTGGGGGTGCCACGGCCGCCCTGAGGACACAGCTGTCATCCCCAATGGGTCCCCAGGGCTGTGGCTGATGTGTGGGGAAAACCCAGGGCACGGCACTTCCTGGAGTGGGGCCACGGTGGCTGCCACGCAGAGAGTGCCCTGTGGGGCCCCGGGGACCTCGGCATGGGGCAGACAGCACCCGAGAGGCTCTGAAAGGTCGAGCTGCTCCTTGTGTGTCCCGGTGAGCCTTGGCGGCTGATCGGAGGGTGCTGAGCACCCCAATGTTGGCAGGGGACAGGCAGTGTCCCCCTCTTTGGACGGCAGGGGACAGGTGGGCAAGGAGGACCCTGTGCACCATCGCCTGTGGATAACTGCAGCCAATTGTGTGAGCGTGGGGCAGGTGAAGGGCTTGGGGACGGGGTAGGCTTCCCTTTTCTCATCCCCCCTCACCTGTTTGTGTCGCCCACAGCATAGCACCGGGCTGCTCCATGTCGAGGAGGCTGCGGAGGAGCAAGAGGGTGGTGCTGGAAAAGCCGTGGCAGAGCCTGGAGGAGAGAGGCAGCGCGCAGCCGGACCCGCACCCTGCACTCGCCAGGTGGGTGCTGCGTCCCTGACTCACAGCCCCCATTTCCTGCAGTGCTGCATCCCTGAGCCACAGCCCTCAGGCCCCCACGGCTCAGTGGCTGCTGCTCCCGGCAGATCCAGAACCTACGACGCCTCCACCTGCACCGAGACCCCGGAGGCGTCAGGTCGGCCAGGATCCCTAAACCCGGTGAGTCCTGGGGGAGAGGAGGGGGGACCCCATCCCCATTTTGTGGTCGGTACTGGGGGCGCCAGGGCTCAGCCCCACTCCTCGGCTTCCCCACAGCTCAGCAAGCACTGTGCTGCCTTCCATAAAGCCTTTGAGGAGATCGCAGGGCGCGAGGCTCTGCTGGCCTGCTTCTCCTGCGCCTGGCAGCGCGAGGTGCCCTACCACGGCCGCCTCTATGTCTCCTCCGGGCACCTCTGCTTCCACGCCAGTGTGCTGCTCAGGGACATCAAGGTGTGGGCGCGGGGCGGGTGTGGGGTGGTGTGGGGGCACAGGGTCTGACCACGCTTGCTCCCCTCAGGCCGTTGTCCCGGTGGCTTCTGTCTGTGCCCTCAAGAAGACCAACACGGCACTGCTGGTGCCCAACGCACTCAGCATCCGCACGGAGCAGGGGGACAAGGTGAGCTTGGGGAGAGGGCGGTAGGGATGGGGCCGTGGGGGGGAACTGACTGCCCATCTCTCTGCCCGCAGTTCCTCTTTGTGTCGCTGCGCCGGCGTGAGGCCACCTTCCAGCTGCTGAAATCGCTCTGCAGACACCTGCAGGTAGGCGGTGTGCTGGGTAGGGGCCGGGCTCTGTGCCCCCTGCACCCCGCTGCAGCTTTCCTTGTGCAGGACGACACCTGGAGCCCCCCAGCCTCTCCCCTCAACCACAGCACTGAGCAAAGCCCTAAGAAATCTTTGGTGAGGGAACGGCCGCAACGGCGCTGCATGGCCCCAGGGGGGGCTTTCTGGGGGAAATGTGGTGCTCAGAAGCCCCAGCCCCCTGCCAGCCCCCCACCCATCCTCCAACAAATCCCTGTCCTCCTGCAGACCTCGAGCCACTCAGACTTGGAGCAGTGCACCCCGGAGCCCGATGGTCTGGAGCTGCAGGGTGAGTGGCCACCCCAGTGTGCCCCCCACAACCCCCACAACACCCCATAGCCCCTGTAGGCCTCCCTTCTTGGGGCCGCCCCGTGCGCCCCATTGGGTCCTGAGGCACTCGACGAATGGATCCCGGTTACGTGCAGATGAGCCGAACCCGATGCTGAACAGAGCAGAGGAGGATGAGGAAAAAGAGGAGGAGACGGCAGAGGCCAGTCCAGTTCTGGGCAGAGGTGAGCAGTGCCCTTGGCAGAGCCGTGCAACGTCCGTGCGCCCAGCACAGGGCCGGGACGACGCCTCTCTTGGCCACGGTTGTCCCCAACACCTCCTCCTCCTGGCAGGGCGACCCCGCACAGCACTGCCAGCCCGAAGCGCCGCACAGCTGGGTGCTTTCAACACCATCATCGTGCTCTACCTGCTGCTGTGAGTCCCTGGGCAGGGGACACCGCCACCCCCACTCTGTGTCCCTGTCCCTGACCTGTGTTGTCCCCAGGATGGTGGCTTTGCTGCTGACCTCGGGGTACATCGGGCTGCGCATCCTGGAGCTGGAGCAGCAGCTGGCGGCCATGGGGGCTTGGCCAGAGTTCAGCCTGGTGCAGCGGTGAGTGAGGGGCGGCGGCCCCTTCACCCCCAGCTCAGTGGGAGCCCCTCACCCTGCCCTCCCTCCCAGGCACAAGAAGACGTGAGGCCAACAGGGACCTGGCTGGCACCGGGCCACCAGCACATGGGACCGGCTCTGGGACCCCCCAGAAGGTGGGGAGGAGGAGGGGGGGTCCCCACGTACCTTCCAGCACCCCCAGGGAGCCCCCGCGGGCCGTGGGGCTCCATCCTACCCCCTTCCCTCCATGCTTCAGCCCCTGAGCTCATTGTGTGAGCACTGATCAGAGGGCAAAGCCAGAGCCAGGCCCCCGCCCTGGGAGGCAGCCACCCCCAGGGATGCGGGCACAGCGGGGCCCGGTGGGCACAGGGAGATGGAACTGTTTTTATTAATAAAGAGCTGACGTGGTGCTAGCTGTGCTGCACGGGACATCGGGGGTAGAGGGTCCCCCACCACAACGCTGACCGTGCCCCTGTTCCCTGGGCTGCGCACAGAGGCTTCGCCCTCCCCTCACCCCCCCGTAGCAGCACTGTTAGCTGGGGGGGGCTGAGGGCTGGTGCTGCAGGAGGCTCCAGCTGCAGACATCCCGCGTGGTGGTTTGGGGGCTGCAGAAGGACAACAAAGGGACGTAGCCTGAGCTGCCCCCCGGCGCCGCAGTGCCCTGGCTGCGGGTGGCCACTGCAGAACAGAAGGAAAACGGTGAGGGGGGGCTCAGGTGGGCACAGCAGGGTGTGCTGCCATCCCCCCCAGCTCTTACCGTACTCCTTGCCCAGGACGGGGCACTCCTGCCACAGGAAGGCTCCCCAACGCGTGCCAGGCCCCGGGTAGGCAGCAGGGACAGTGGGGTCCCAGCAGGCAACGTCCCGCAGATGCTGGTCATAGACTTGGGGGGGAAACAGGCTGCAGAGCTGGGGGCAGAGAGCAGGACGCCCCCCCGCTCCCCCCCCACCCCCCCCCCCCCCCCCCACTCCCCCCCGAGGAACCCCGCAGTTTCCCCCTCCCCAGTTCCCGGTTAGTGCCCTGCTTTTCCCCTTCTCCCCACCACCCAGCTCCCTACCAGGGGGCAGCGGGTCCAGTTCAGGAGCGCCGTGTGAGCGCTGCCAGCGCTGCCAGGCCGTGCTACGGGTGAGGCCGTCCGCGGCGTCCTCCGCCCCGCGGCAGCTCGGCTCCGTCGCCCAGCTCTGCTCCGCCGCATCCCTGCCCATGGGGGCCATCTTCCAGCGCACCGCCTGCCTCAGCACCGGCGCGCAGCGCGGTCCCCGCAGCGTCACGTACTGCTGGCTGCGGGCACCAGGGGACATCAGCGCCCGCGGCACCCGCAGGGCCCGGCCCCGAGCTCCCAGCGCCGCCTCACCTGCACAGCGGCAGAGGGAAATCCGTTTCCAGGGTGCTGAGCGGCACCCAGGCTCTGTGCGTCCCCGGCTCCATGCCCGGCCCCGGGAACCCGCAGCACTGCTGGAACCGGCGCCCCGGCAACAGCGACTGCGGCAACGGGCTGGGCGCAGCTCCGTGCCCCTGGGCGCCGGAACCGCTGCCCCGCGAATAGCCGGCACCAAACGGCACCAAACGGCACCAAACGGCACCAAACGGCACCAAACGGCACCAAACGGCACCAAACGGCACCAAACGGCACCAAACGGCTGCGGCCACGCGGAGCTCGGGGCGCCCCCAGGACGCCGAGGTGAGAAGAGCCGAGCGGTGTCAATTCACAACTAGTTTAATGCCAGTTAGAACGCTTTACATGGAAAAGTTACAACTCAATACTTGTTTCTGTTCCTCTTTTTTTTCTTTCTTCTTTCCCCCCTCCCCACCACACGATGCTGTATATCTAACAACGCCACACGGTCACAGACTGGCACACAGACTCCGGGCTGCCCCCTGCTCACAGACAACGCAGATGAAGGCTTTCCTCTTTTCCCTGCTCCATGAGGGCACGCAGCCCCACTCGCCCCCTGCCCCCCTCAGCTCCCACACAACAGCTGAGCCCCCACCCCACACCCAAGCAGCCCCCAACCTGCGCTGGCTGGGATCCGTGCCCATCAAATCCACTCCGTGCTCCACCACCACGTTAAACAGTGCCAAAAACAAAAAATAAATCAAGGAAGATGCATCGGGAGGCCTTCAGTCAGAGCCCGAACCGAGTGCTGCGCTCCTGCTGCCAGAACAGGGCGGTTGTGCCAACATGGGTTTGTAGAACAACACCGCAGTGATACAGGAGGGGCTGCTGGAGGCGGCGGCTCACAGCCGTGCAGCCACAGAAGCGCTGCCCCTACAGCCTACGGAACAGGTCGAGGTCTATGTACACAGCCAGGGAAACGCCGAGGAGAGGAACAGCCAGCAGAGGCGCTGCGGGAGGGAGGACACAGCGTTGGCACACAGACGCGGGGAGACAGAACAGGCTGCTGCAAGCAGAACAGCTTCTCCTTAAATTAAAAGCAACACGTGAGCGCTTTGCAGCACAGCCCGCGGCACTCAGCACCCCGGGCGCAGACACAGACTCTCTTCCACACAGCTTCAACACCAAAGAAAATCAACAGGTCCCCCGGCATCGACGAGGAGATTAAAAAACAGAAAGGAAAAAAAAAAAAACCAAAACACAAAAGGGCACCAAATTCAGCCTGGCTTCACACAGAGAGCCCCCCTCTCACCCCGGCGCGGCGTTTCCCCCCTTCCTTCCAGCCACAAGAGGCCGGGCTCCCTCTGAAATAAACCAGACCCCACAGGAGTGGTTTTGTTTCTCAAGCTCATCGCAACTGCTTTTGTCCTCGGGAGGCCGTCCTCAGGAACCAGCCCAGCACGCAGCCGGGCAGCTCCGCCTGCACACCGCTTCGCTTTTGAAAGCCAGTGTTTGGTTGTTTTGTTTTTGTTTGGTTTTCTTTCCCCTCTCTGTTAAATAAAGGACTGGCCTAAAACACACCACAGCCATTTGGAGCTGCTCTGAGCGCATGCCCTCCGAGGTGAAGCCTCTTCAAAGATGTTAAGTTAGGTTTGGAGGGGCTGGTAAACGGGCCAGAACCCAGCAGCCTCATGGAGCAGCACTGCGGTACCTGCTTCATTCGGAGGAAATAAGTGGTTCTCTGGTGCAACGGGGACCCCAGGCTCTAACGAGTGCCTTTAGATAGCAGAGAGGCCAAGGCTCAGCCGGGGCATTGCCCCACAGGGGCAAGGATACTCTCGTCTCTCCTAAGAGCTTACAACACAGCAGTTGGGATGGCCTTGGTCCGCTCTCAGTGCTCCATGTAAACACGTTTTCTCCAGTACAAAAGAAAAAACAAGGGTTGGAGGGCGCCGCTTCGACCTCTTCCACCCGCACCCCTTCGACAAAGGACGAATCCATGAACCTTGGGCAGTTCCCTCCCACCCCCCACCCCCAGCCCCAGCCAAACGCTGTCCCAGCGCCGTTCACCAGCACTGTTTAATCAGTGCCTGTGGCTCCGTCCTCCAGGCCCAGCGGGGCTCCCTCCCCTCCCGGCTGCTCTCTGGGGTCCCATGCACACCAAAGCAGTGGTTCCATCCTGCTGCGTGAGGCTGGGCTCTCCTGGGCCGCAGCGTGGGGGGGTTTTACCGTATCCTGGTGAAGAGGTTCAGAACGGATACGGACTCCTACAACAAAAGGTAAAGCAGCACTGAGCACTGCAGAGCTTCAACCGCCACCGCCACGCTGCCGAGGCGTCTCAGGGCACCACATTCAAAGTCCAACACCATCAATATTCCCATGTGGTTTTTTTCCTTCCCCCACCTTCCAACTGATAACAAGGAGCGTGGCGGGCAAGCGTGCCATTCCCACGTCGGTGTGCAGTGCTGCAATGCTGCACCACAGCCCCACACCAACAGCCCTCCTCGGGGCCTCAGTGCTGCTCTCCGCACCACACGTGGGCACAGCACGCTGCTGCTACCCCCCAGTCACCACTTGCAGCAATTAAGCAAGGAGCTGAAGGATAATAAAATATGAGGACACCGTCAGCTGACCGCATCCCAGCAGCAGTGATGGATGGTGCTGGGCTCAAGGTGAGCACAGTTCCAGGGCAGCTGGCAGAATGATGCCTTGTCACGCAGCCCTGCGTGTGCACAGCCAGCCTTTTATTGTGTCTCATGACTGTGAAAAGCCTTTTATATTGCAGCCTAGTTTAACTCTTAATTGCAACCATCCCTCAATCCGCAGGGTGAGGTTAAAGGACCCAGAGGTGAGGCTGAAGAAGAGAGCAAACAGCCGGAATTCCTGCTGCGGCTGCGCGCACCCTTACCTTCGTGGAGCGAGTTTTACTGAAGACGTTCCAGAACCGCAAGGTTTCGTCTCCAGCTCCTGTCACGATGGCCTCCCCATCTGGGGACATCGCCTGCAGCCAAGAGAGCAGCCCTGAGCCCCGACTGCATCCTTGAGGTTGAAAACAAACCTTGACTGGGATGCATGAGATTCGACTCGCCTTCCCCGTGCCAGCTATCACTGGGGCCGTTCCTCCCCAGATTACACACGTGTGCTGAGGCAGGAAGCTGATAGAGCTGGTAAATGCCACTCATTAGTCAGCTGGGTTGGAATCCACCTCGCAAAACACTATCAGCAGTATTTATCACCTGCCAGCACTCTGCCAAAAGCCCAACGTAAGGTAAGCAGGCAGTTAATCCACCCGGATCTCCTACCTACACCAGGTGCTTTGATATGGAATTAGGAAGGCTGAAGGCATCGTGTCATTCCCTGCTTGCAGTTACCAACAAACAGTGACCGAGCCTTATGGGAATGAGGAGAGATCCTGTGCTTCCCTCTGAAGAGCTCTGGCAAGCTTTGCTGTTCATTAATAAAGCCTCATATTTCCATAGCAGTAAATCAAAGCATCCCTTGCAGGCAAGGAAAGCAGGCAGAGCTTTTCTCATCGCCTGCAGGGCAGCGCTCACACATCTCCACCACGAGCAGAGGCAGCTGACAGCGCTCATCTCAGCACACGTCCAGCAGCTGCTCTGGAAACACGGCCACTGCTTACCAGGTACAGGACTCTGTACGAGTGCCCCGTCAGCTTGGCCACTTGAGTGAGGGAGGGGTATTTCCAGACCAGGATCTGGTTCTGCGAGTAGCCGTGGGTGCTCACCTGGAAGGAGAGAGGGAAAGGGAAGAGAGGGAAAGGGACGTGGTGCTTCCTACCCCGAGGCAGCTCAGCAGCGAGGGCGGCACACAGGACTCACCAACTCGTTGGCGTGCTTCGACCAGGCCAGGTTGCACACCTGGGAGCCGGTGTCGATGCACTGCAGGGGCTGCCCTGTCAGCGTGTTCCAGAAGCGGATGCAGCGGTCCGCGGTGCCGCCGCCGGAGGCGAGGAGGCCGTGCTGGTGTGGAGACCAGGCGATGGCTTTCACTGCAGCCAGGTGCTCCGTGTATTGCTGCACGGGGCTCAGGCTGGAATGGTTCCACACGAGGAGCTGGAGGAGAGGAGAGGAGAGGAGAGGAGAGGAGAGGAGATGTGAGCACAGCCGCACCGCAGTCGTGTGTCCGCAACACCCACAGAGCACGAGAGCTGCTCTGGGATTGATGAGGGTGGCTGGGAAATGTGATGGCTTCCCACAGCCCTGCCCAAGCACAGCCAGCCCGGCTCTCTCAGCCCTGACCCCGTCTCACTCGGGCACTGAGCCCAGCCGAGGAGCCACCGGCCCACAGAAGCCCTCAGTTTAAGCTCATGAAGCCAAAGATCCGGCATCTCTGAACACCACCTCAAAACCTTTCATCTGTGGGGCCGCACTGTTCCAACACAGCTAAAAACACAGCTCAAATTCATCTGCAGACACCCTGACAAGGAGCTCGGTACAACCATGCTGTCGCACTGGCTGCAGTCACTACCTAGCAACCCGCTCCAAAGGGCTCCGAATGCTGCTGCTTTGGAACAGATGCTTCCTCCATATGGCACTCAGTGAGACACAGCTCTGTGCTGTAGGTATCAGAACTTACACAGCTCCTAAGCTCTGTTTCCTTCTGCATGCATGAACATTATTCACTGTACGCTACCTAAACCAAGTCAGGAAGCACAGCTTAGCCTCACTGAACTCAAAACCGAGTCAAGCAATGGATTTAATTAGCCAAACACAGGAGCAAAATTACATTTGCCTCTTTAATATTATTAGAGAGGACTGAGGAGAAGCTTAGCGTGATTTACAGCTGGACACAGCCCAGCAATTGAAATAAGAGCCCCTCCACACTGCAGCTGAAAGAAAGGGGAGGCTGACAGCTCTCGGTGAGGATGGAGAGATGCAGAGCCTCACGTGAGCAGCACTGAGCGCCGTACCTTGTTGTCATTCCCCCCAGATGCCAGGAGCTGGTGGTCTGTGGACCATTTGAGCCCGCACACCTCCTGCCTGTGGCCCTGGAGCCGCCGCTCCGACTGCAGGGGGGGGGTCCTGATGTCCCTCTGGAGGATCATTCGGTCTCTGCTCCCAGAAGACAGCTGGTCTGCGTTCCATGCCAGGGCCCCTGCGAGAGAGGGAGACAAGAGGTGTGAGAAGGGTTTTGGGGGCCTGCAGGCAGAGCACAGCTACCAGAGCTACGAGAGACCGACCCCATCTCAGGAGGCAGTAAAGCACAAAGGCTGAACTCAGCAGGGATCTCACAGCCCCAAATCGTTCAGCATTCAGATTCAATGCCTCTGATAAAAACAACAACAACACAGTCCCTGAAATGCACAGAACTGGAAATCTCAGTGTGAAGCTGCTGCCTGCAGGACTGAAAGCGGAAGCAGGTGGCAACGAAAAGCAGTGTTGTAACCAAACTGAAATGCCTCAGACATGGAGGAAACACCTGCTGCAAGAAGCACTCAAACACCACCACACTCAAGATCAGAACACCACAATTACTAGGTGGCAACATTTTCAAGGCAGCTCAGCACACAGCAGGACATAAATATCAGTTGTGGGGCTGTTTGAAGCTCTGCTATTTCTAGCAGATCCCTGGTAGGAGAAGAGTAAAAAAAGTAAATCCAGGAGCTAAACATGCAGGATCTTCCACCTCCCTCCTCCTTACCAACTCTGGCTGTGTGTCCCTCCAGCATGGAGAGCTTTTTTCCTGCAGCCGCATCCCAGATCTGTACAAAGCCCTTGTGAGTGCCAACAGCTACCAGAGTCCCCTGGACAAACAGAAAACCATCCGTAAAGCTATAGGCATAGACAGATGTAACACAAAAAGCTATATGCTCAGGAAAAGCCTCAGGATAAATCCCATGAGACAGAAAGCATCCAGAGCTCTTCTATCTTCCATCTTCTCCCTGCTGGAGAGAGCCACGTAGCCAGGATGGAACATATTTGTTGTAGCACTTCATTGTGGAGAGCTAGAAAAGTGACCTGGCTCTTTCTCCCTCCCATCTCTCTTATTGAATACCTCAAAAGCCACAAAATCCAAGAGGTTTCTCTCTTTACCCCCTCATTTAGCAGAGACAGATTTAACTTACAGCACGCAGGGAATTCAGGGCAATACAGAAAAATAAACCATAGCAGCTAAAACTGGTGAGGAAGGGCCACCCAGCTCCAGCGATAGCGTTTAACTTTCAGTTGATGTTACAGGTCGTGTCATACTGACCCGTTCTGACCAGCCCACGGACGTCACAGAGTCTCCTTCCACAGAGAGATCACACAGCCGGGTCACCTGGCAAAATAAGGCACCATTAGTTTGAAAACATACCATCAGGTGCTGCTCTGATGAGGGAGTGGCTTGGGACAGAGCACTGCAGACACCGGGCTGCTCACACAGTGCATTTCCACAGCTCTGTGCCTGGACGACACCTGCAGCAATGGGTTTCCTGCTCTGCCTTTACCTGGCTGGTGCAAGCACTCCATAGGTAAACACACGTCCCGAGGCCAACGCTGAGCACGTTCAGAGAGGACCAGTCCACCAGGTTCAGGTAGAAATCATCCTGCAGTTCTGGGGCATCCAACACTTTGAAAGGAATCTTGGAGATCTTCCGAGTTGGTTTTCGAGGCGACCTGAGCAGCTTCTGACTATTTACAGACAGAAAAACAACTACAGGATGCTGCACACCACAGCAGGCTGCACAGATGGACGCAGCTGCTCTCCAAAGCAAGTCTACATTTCTACAGAAAGAGGCAGTAAAACTCCTTCCAGCAGATAAGAATAGAGGGAATTGGGTTCTGCCTCTGCAAAGGAGCTCGGTAGCAAAAGGTGAGCTGGCTGTGGTTGCTCAGACAACACATCCTGCAGATGTAAGCAGGCTGGACACCTGCACAGATCCCCAGAGAACTTGCCTGTCCATATTTGTTGCCTTTCTCAGACTTCCAAATCCAATCCAAGTGGCAATTTGAATTGCCTTAGAAAAAAAACAACCCTAGAGAACCCAACCCTTCCCTTCTTTGTGCAGAGTCAGTAATACCTTTTGTTGCTGACAGGAGACAAGGAATACGGTGAGACCTCATTGCCATCGTCTGGACTGGAACGTTTGGTGCTGAGGGAATACTGCATGAAGAAAGCACAGCTCAGCACACCAGGAGTCAGAGGATCCCTCACAGAACAGGCACGAGTGCCTGGCAACCTCCAACACCCACTGTCAGTTTTTCAGTCTCCTCAGTTCCCCCCTGTTCTCCGTGTTCCAGATGTACACACACACACAAAGTTAACCTCCACCGCAGTCTGAGGCCTTGATTTGGTCACTTACAGTTTTGGAGCGGGTAAAAAACCTTCAGTCCCACTCAGTTTCCTTGGCAGTACAGCAATAGGAAGCACACAGCTCACTGCAGGTGCTCGTACTGCCTTTACAAGCAAACAAATTTTGTTCTCAGCATCTGACATAAGTCACAATACTAACTTGCTTTCATCAGCAGCTTCACAGAGCTGTGTGCCTCGCTCCCCTCACAGACTTACAGCCTCCCTTGGTCTGAATGCAACCAACTTACAGTGAAGAGAGATTTCTTCTCCGGAGTGGAAGGCTGCAACCTCCTGTCCTCTGTCTGTGGGTCCTGCACTTTCTCAATCCCTGCTCCCAGGAGCTCGTTCTTCAGCAGGGCAGAATAAGCAAGGCCATCTGTGAACCCAAACAGGAGGTGAGGCAGGGCGTTCTGGAGCCACAGAAGCTCAGCAGAGACCAACAGGCCCACAGCCTGTACTCTCACAGGGCTCCTTAATAAGCCTGGGATTCCCAGTTATTAATTCCCAGGAATTACAGCTAGTAGTGAACTCCTTCCTCTCCCTCAGAAAAGTGCTTTGTGACAGTAAATCACAGAACACAAACGTGCCCTTGCTTCCCAGATGCCCATCAGTGGCCTGCTGAGGTGACCTGCCATTCACTCCCATTTCAAGATGTATTTTTTAGGACACCAGCATGGCTTTTGGCACGAGCACCTGAGTGCCAGCATTCACCTGGCTCCTGAGCTTGGCACCAAATGGAAATAAAAGCTGCAGCTGTGGCTGCCGGCGATAGAAAGAAGGTCTCACCTTTGCCATTGTCTGACGTAGCATCCTTTGCTTTTCTGTTCTGACTTGGTGATTTTTCATTTTCCTGAAAGGGGAAAGCATGCAATCACCCTACAGAAACCTCTGGGTGTAGAACAGCCAGCAGACAGCAGGCTGCCACTGTGGGGTAGAAGATGCACATTCAGAGCAACTCTTCAAAAGAAGGTATGAGGCCGTGCTGCAAATGATCCACACAGCAGCTCTGGACAAAACGAGGCCCACCTTCCTTATTCAAAGGTTTTGAGAGGGGAGCAGAGCTTACATTTATTCTGTGGAAGTTGATGCTCCAGTTGGCGCCAGCTCTCGAGGGAATGAATCTGTCTCCATGTTTACTGGGAGATGACATTGGAGAATTGGAAGGCGTCAGGGTCCTTCTCATCTCTGCTACCTGAATTAAAGAACGAGAGAGATGAAGGAACACAAGCACTGATCTCAGCAAAGGGTCTGAAAGACATCACAGAGGTCACATCCAAGCTAAATATGCCTAACTAGAAGGGTGAGGCACCTGCTTATCCCCAAAACGGAGCTGCTGGAGAGGCCGGAGCAGGGCAAGGCGCCTGCTGTGTGAGCTGCAGGTACCTCACCTGTGGGCACAGCTTTGGTAGAATAACTGATGTTGGAGAGGTCCCCCAGCTCACTCCTCCAGCCTGTCAAGCTCCCTCTGCCTGCAGCTCCGTCCCAGGTACGTCAGCACCTTCCCCACAGACCTGGGGAGGCTGCACCACCTCCGTCCCAGACCGCCCACCCTTCATTTCTGCTACAGCAGAGGTGAGGGAGACTACCAGAAGCCTTGCTGAACTCAGCATAAGTAACTTTTACTCCCCCCTCTCCTCCAGCAAGTGAAACTGTGCTGTCGCAGAAGGCTCCCAGGAAGGTCGGGCATCATTTGCCCTTGTTAAGTTGGTGCTGCTCCCTTCCTGCCTGGAAATGTCTCCAGAAGGGTTTGCTCAGGGACTGAGAAGCACTGATGCTGCCTTCCCCTGCTCTCTAGTGCCCTCTTGGGCTACTTTGGCCTCCAGTCCTAAGGCTGTTCTGTCTGTTAGCCCCCAACATTTGCACTCTGCATGCAACTGAGACCATTTGTGAAAGGCATCACGCTACATCAGCACACCTTAATCCATTTCTGCAACCCAAACTGAGCTCGTCTGTGTCAAAGCACCATTACTGGGCTCCTCCTAATCAGGAACTCACACCTGCTGACAGCCCAACAACAGACAGGTCCCCACGTCTCCCAAAGCTCCACAGGAAGGAAACACAGAGCAGAGCTTCACACCCAGGCAGAGGCCAGTGGGCACAGACCCTGGTACTCACACAGGGCATGGTGTTCTCATTCTGTATGTTGATTTGGCGCAGCAGACGTCTCTCATAATCCTGGTCCATGCTGGAAGGAACAGGGCTGGGGAGTGCAGCAGTCTCAGGGCTCTCTGCTCATGAAGTCCAATCAGTAATTAGTCTGCTGCAACAGACAGGGGAAGAAAATGCCCCCCAAATATTACGACTCCTCACTCAGAAGCTGAGGACTGAGCCCCCAGCCTCTGCTTTGCCACTTCCCACGTTCTTTTCAGAGGCAGCCACCAGGCTGAGCAGTGATCAGCTTCCACCAAACAAAGCCAGCCACCAGGGATGGCATCACAGCCAAAAGCCCCTCGCAAGCCTTTGGCATTTTCCAACGATGGAGTCAGAAATATACAGTATTAAAACCCCTCATCACATCCCACGTCCCTCCTCGTTTTCAGCTCGTTTCTCACTACATATCTTCCACATCCATCTTTCAAGCCAGCAAGACTTCTCAAACCAGGGCTTTCCAACCAAATGCATTTTTTACACCGTGAACAAGAGAACAGCAGTGTGCAGAACCCACACGAGGTGCACGATCCGTGAGGAGGTGCCACACACGGGAAGTTTCTTCTCTAAATGGCTCAGCTCTGTGATGCAGATACAGACACGACCCCACCACACAGCACTGTGCTGCTCTGAGCTCTGGAAACCCAAGGCGTGGGCTCAGAGAGCTTCACACACAGCAGCTCCAGGCTGTACAAACATGGATTCTAACCCCAAACCTCACCCTCAAGGGTGGCAGGGAAATTCAACAGCACACCAAGAAGACGAGGTCTGTCCTAGGAGAAAGCCATGCTATTCCTGCCTTCCCAGAGCCTGTGTAAGTCCGTGCATCCTGCAGACAGCCCCAGCCTGCTGTGTGCTCGCTGCCACCAGCTCCAGGGTGCCCACGTTCCAGAAATGCCCACTTCTAGCTGGCTCAATTCAAGCTGGATTTGAAAAGCAAAGCACTGCAAGGTGTAGCTACAATATTTTTGCCACCTGCCTGCATTCAGCCTTCGGGTTCACTGCAGAGCCAAAGCTGGAGGCGCTGCAGATCCACACCAAGCTGTGTGCTATCTGTGCCTTTTTACACCACCCCCTCCTGGCAGAGCAGAGCCTGGCCTGCAGTTCAGTCCTGAGGTGACAAACATTTGATGCTGTGCAACACACTGCACACCCACCAGTGCTCCGAGACCTCACAGAGCCCCACTTCAGCTCCCTGCACCCACCTGAAGGCTCTGTGTCTGCTTTTGGCCCTAAAGACGTGGCAGAGGGGCTCTGACCAGCACAGCACAGCAGTGCTCACCTGAAGCACTCGGGGCAGAGACCTGCATGAAGCGTGAGGAGCAAAGAGCCTCACAGCACAGCATGGAGCTGCGGGTGCCAGGAAACGCCTGCAGGAAACCAAGGGACAGCGGCACCTCTGAAGGAGCCTTTGTGAACAACAAACAGCACACCAACAAGCTCCTCGGCGTGCTTTTACAACCCCAAGGACTTTCACCCCACCAAATTCTCTTCGATGCATGACTTCCTTTGAGAAGTGTTGCTCTCACTGCTTCTTTCATGTGAGCAATGCTCAGGTATCACCACCACTGGTAGGACAGACGTTCTCCCAAACCCTTCTTTCCACGCCTGGAAGGAAAGGAGGGAAGCCAGCATCTGCTGATGTGCATTTCCAGCTGCTCACCTCCTGAATCGTGCAGCTCACCAAAGCTGAATTGCAGAGCTCAGCCTGAGAGAAGAGCAAACCCTCCTCACTGCTGCACGCAGAGCCAGATCCCCAGCCGAGGGGCTCCCAGGTTTCCTTCCCAGCTTTTATTCACTGAGGAAAGCTGCAGGTTCGCTCCTCTCCCTTCCCAGATCACGTTTTTCATTCCACACACATCTCACTGCAGATGACAGCAGCGGGGTTGATGCGAGCAGCCACGACAATCACACACACAGCAGGGAACCTCTCAAAAAGAAAAAACAACCACCAGCATCACCATTAAACCCCTTTTTATCGCCTGCAGGCAGCAGTCCTGTCTTCCTTTCACCTTTTCACCGCAACGCTTCATAAACACGAGAGCCACGCCTGCTCCCAGGGAAGCCAAAAACAGTACAAAGTCTGCAGCAGCACAGGAAGCCACGGGCTGGGAAACACAGAGGGCGTAGGGATGCAATGAGCTGCGGGGTCAGCGCTGTGTCAGCCCTCGCCTGTGGGTCAAGTTCTGCACCTCATTAGCAGGAAGGCTCCTAACAGGTTCACCTCTGACGAAGGCAAAACAAACAACAGAGGCCACAGGAAAAACAACACCACCACCATCACCACGCTCTCTGGTTTTAGAGATGCAATAATTAACAAAGGTGTGTTGAGAGCGTTTGTGCAGCTCTTCCTTTCCCGGCTCGATGAAGCGCCGAGGCCTGCAGTACGGATCAGGTTTGGCCCAGCACCCACCAGGTGCTGTCGCCTCCCTCTGCTGCTGCACATGCAAGGAAGCAGCTCCTGCCCTGTGCACAGGCAGAGGGGAAGGAAACATCCCCTGCGTGGTGCTGCGTGCTGTACAGGAGCTGGCTCTGCTGGTCGCACAAGGACGCATCAACGCTGCAGGGCTCTGCCTTCAGATGCCCCCTCTCCCAAAATGCCAACGGCCTGGAGGCCATCGCCCGATCCGTGACCAAAACTCACACGGCTCCTCTGTGCCACCACAGCCCTGCATTCACCTCCCAGCCGAGCTGCTGGCAGCGCCTCTTAGGATTTGGGGATCAGGTGCTGCACTGAGGATGGAGTTCATCCACGCCAAGCGTCCGAGACAACAGAACTGGAGGAAGCAAGAAAGCAAGCTCCCCGTGTTCATTCGCAGCACTTCACAGAACCCTTCAGGGCTTTTTTAAAGCAGTTTGTGTGCTCTGCCCTGCTGTCACACCCTGGGAATGGAGGGAAAGCACTTTGCCTCCTCAAGGCCCTGTAACCTCCCATGTGCAGCACTCATAACCCACAGGCAGCCTGCAGCTTGTTTTCCCCCACAGCTCCTAACTCCGGTCATTCGGTTTCATTTCTAAATGAAAACAAAACCTTGCGAAGCGCATTCACCTGCTTATCTCCCCTTATGCCTCACAACAAAGTTATAAGCAGCTGTTAAGAGCACCCAGCTCCAGATAAAAGCTCTGCTTTACCGAAAGCCTTATTGTGAGTCACTGCTCTAAAAGCCAAGATTAAAAATTTACCAGCAACTCTGCCCACGAGCCCCACTGAAGACACGCAATTCAAAGTGCTTCTAAGCTACTGGAAATGCAGCACTGCCCCCTGGTTAATTCACTAAAACGGGGCCAAAGGATTCAGAAAATGCAGTGACTTCACTCGACAGCCCTAGAATATTCTGCTTCTGCATGAAATAATGGTAATAAAAAAGATCAGTCTTTATTATGAAGTGTTGTTGCCAGCAGGGGAACAGAAAACCTTGGGCACAGAACACCAGGCACCACCATTAAACACCCTAACTCAATAAGAGTGAGCACTTCACAAGAAAATGAGCACTATGCCTTCAGGAGAGCTATAAATCACAGGAAATCCATCTGAGCAATAAAGCCCATGGCATCTCTGATGGATGACTCTGCTCTGACAGCTGCCTCCCCCTCTTCCCACACACAGGAGATGCTTTTAAGACCTCAACCCTGTAATTCACCCAACGTATAAACTATTTCCCTTTTGGAAAGCATCAAGTCATTAAAAAATAATAACAGAGGGCACAAAGCATTGCTCAGTTCCTTCAGACCACTAAAAGCTGTCAGAGCACCAGCAGCACAGCCCCAGCTTTTGCTGCACGTACACACGCAGCTCCTGACCACAGTTTCTGTCCCTGCTTCCTCACTCTCTCACCAGAGCGCGCACCACAAGCTCAGCTGCCATTCACCACCGTGATACGATTGAGGAAGCTGCCTCACAGCAGCAGAGCTGCTTTCCAGGACTGGCCAAGCTTTCCCGAGAAGGCAGCAGAGGGCAGCTACACGAGGGATGCACGTTGGGCAGCTCAGACAGATGCTGACAGCACACCAGGGGACAGATGTGCTGCCCGTTACCCGATGAGCACGGTGAGGAGAGAGCAGAGTTCTGCAGGCAGAGGCTCAAACCGCCAACGGTCTGCAGCCCCACGCAGCTCTGTGGCAGCAGAGGAGCCACAAGATGATTTCTCAGCTCTCCCACTGAAGCTCGGCCTCATCCCGCCACGTTCGGGCCACAGAGGAAGGGCACAGCTTGCTACAAGGCCCGAGGGCCCTCAGAGCGCGGGGCACGACGCGGGGCAGCCCCGCCCGGCCCGGCTCCGCCCCGCCAGGCCCGGCCCCTCCACAGCCCGCCCCGCCAGGGCCCACATCTCCGAGGAAACGGCCGGCCGGTCAGCCTTAGGGTCCCACCCGCTTGGACCCAGCTCCCCAGAACCGTGAAGGCAGCCCCAAGCCCAGCCGGCAGCCCCACCCGCCTACCTGCCCACCGGGTCCGGTCCCGCTCCGCCTCCGCCCGTCACCAGTGCCGGCCCCAGCACTCCCGCAATATGGCGGCCGCTGCCGGCCGGAAGTCCCGCCCCTCCGCGCGGGGCACGACGGGAGGCCCGTCCGCCTATTCGAATAAATACAGGAAGTACCAGCGGGCGTTGTTATGACAACGGCGCGGCCTGCTCCGATCCGCTGGGCCTCGGCGGGGAGCGCGCCCGCCCTGTCCTGTTACTCATTGTTCCTCCGCCGGGCTGCGTTTACAACGAGCACTAATAAACGGAAGCTAAAGACAGCCTCGATCATTCACTTAAAATAAAACCAAATGACACGGAGTGAGTGAGGGAAGCCCCGTCGTGCCCCCCTCTGCCGGCCCGCAGCCCGACCTGCGCCGTACCCGCTCTCCTCCAGGCCGGGCCGAGGCGGCGCCGCCCCGCCGTGACCTTGCGGCCGAATCACTTCCAGGGCGGCCCAGGCTCTCGATTTGAAAATGCGGGAGCGGCTGCTGGTGCTGCTGTGTGCTTTGGCGAGGCGGGCGGGAGGGCGGAGGAGGGCCATGGCCGGGCGTTGGGATGGGCCGCAGCGGCGGGCGTGGATCCGGCATTATTACAGCCAGCGGCAGAAACGGCTGATGACGGTGAGGGGCGGAAATGGGGACGGGGAGGTTGGGAGGGGTGGAGGTCACAGGGACACAAAGGACGGGGGTTGGGGAATGGGGCTGTAAGGGTGAGCACGAAGGGCTGGGGATGTAGAGGTGTGGGGACACGGAGGAGATGGAAAATGGGGCATGGAGAGACAGTGGTAGGTGAGGGGGCACAGATGAAGCGTGGGGATGTGAAGGACACAGAGGTCACAGGGACACAAAGGACAGATGGTGAAATGGGGAATGTGAGGCTGGGCATGAAGGGATGCAGAGGACACAAAAAATGGGATACAGTCAATGGGGGGCAGGGGGTACAGTGATGTAAAGGAGGGAGCATGGGGGGCATAAAGGATGAGGGATCAGAAGGATAAGGGACAGAAGGTAAATGGGTCACAGGGGCACAAATAGCGGGGATGGGGACACAAATGATGGGGGAGACACAGAAGAGGGGGGTTTTGAGCATGAGGGGCAGCGGTTGCAGAGGGGATACAAAGGACATGGGGGCACAAAAAATGGGATGTGACTGATGGAGGACATGAGGACATAGGGAGATATAAGATGGGGTGTGGGGGACACAAATAATGGACACAAAGGACGGGGGACAGGAAGGACACAGAGGGGACACAGGGACACCAAGGGTAGGGACCAGGGGGACAAAAAAGGACCGGGGACCTGAAGGACATGCGAATGAGAGCCTGGACACAAAAGGCAGTGCACAAAGTACAGAGGAAGCAGAGGATGTAGGAATGTGAGGGAGAGGGATTGTAAAAGATGCAGAGATCACAGAAATGTGGGGGACAGGGACACAGTGGGATAAAGGGTGAAAGACTGGGAACAGAAAGGATGGAGAACAGGAAAGATACGGGACAGAGGAACTCAAGGGATGGGGACAGGAGGGGCACAAAGGACAGGTTCCTGGGGCTTCACAGGAATGCAAAGGTTTGATCCCCCTGCAGCAGCTCCTGGAGCCCAGGGCCATTGGGCATCCCTTCATCCTATGGTGCTTGAGCTTGCTTTGTCCTCAGAGGGCAAAATAATGTGGGCTGAGGGGGAATTAGGGTTGTGGAGCAGCTGTCTCACAGCCCCACGGTCTCCCCGCAGCTCCTGATCGCTCGCCGGAGGAGAACCAGCTGCTACTTCTATCCCCGCGCCTGGCCCAGCCTGCGGGGCGCAGACTGGTGGGAACGGGTGGTCCTGAAGGAATTCAGCCCCCAGGACTGGCTGGAGAAGTTCCGCATGTCCCGGGAGACCTTCTTCTACATCTGCAACCGCCTGCGGCCGGGGCTGGCCCCGCACAGCTCCCACTTCCACCCCACGCTGCCCCTGGAGAAGCGGGTGGCTGTGGCCCTGTGGCACTTGGCCACCAATGTGGAGTACCAGACTCTCAGCCCGCTCTTCGGCATCGGGCCTTCCACCGTGCAGACGTGCGTGCGGGAGGTGAGCTACGCCGTGGTGCTGCTGCTGAAACCCCTCTACCTCCGTCTGCCCGATGAGAAGGAGCTGGAGAACATGGTGCGCATCTTCCGCACCCGCTGGGGCTTCCCGCACTGCATCGGAGCCCTGGACAGCCTGCACATCCCCATCAACCCCCCGCTGCGCCTGAGCGCCGATTACTGCAATGGGCAGGGCTGGCACTCCATCCTCACCCAGGCCACCGTGGATGGGCTGGGCCAGTTCTGGGACGTCTCCACTGCTTTTCCCGGCAGCATGGAGAACAGCGCGGTGCTGGAGAGCTCCAGCCTCTGGGTGCTGGCCAAGGAGGGCCGGCTGTGCCCCAACCCGCCCAAGGACTTCATGGGCAAGGCACAAAAGTACGTGCTGCTGGGTGACGCCACTTACCCCTTGCAGGACTGGATCCTCAAGCCCTACCAGGAGGATGAGAGCCTCACCCAGCGCCAGCTGCAGTTCAATTATCGCCTCAAGCGGGCGCACAGCGTGATCGAGAACGCCTTCCTGCGCCTGAAGGCCCGCTGGCAGATCCTCCTCAAGTGTGATGACTGCAGCCTGGAGCTGCTGCCCACCCTCGTCCTGGCCTGCTGCATTCTGCACAACGTCTGCGAGGCGCACGACAACCCATTCAACGAGGAGTGGCTGGAGGGCACCGAGCCCACTGAGCTGCCCAAGCCTTGCCAGCCTGCACCCGCTGCCATGGAGGACGGCCGGGCTGAGCAAGTGCGTGAACTGATGTGCCAGTACTTTGAGAACTGTGGGGAGGGCTGACGGCTGCAGGGGGAACACGCCGTGCTCCTCCTTGGGCCCTGTGGGTCGGTGTCAGCCCTTCGGTTCATGTTGGCTTTTGCCTCTCGGCTGCAGGCAGAGGGATGTATCTCACACCTGGGCTCTCTCTGCTGGGATTTGACCAATGTAGTGATGTGCTCTGTACTGTGTGAATAAAGCAGGGTCGTGGTTTGCCGGGGAGAGGGTTGTCAGGTCATCCCGTCGCAAGGGAATGGCTGCAGCCCTGGTGTTGGCAGGACTCAGAAGGGCTGGAAGTGAGGAGGCAGAGTGCCGAAGCACAACACCCGTTGCACGAACGTGTGCAGACGTGGGAGGGAAGGAGGAAGCAGAGCAGTGACTTGCTGTGGGCTGGCCAGCTGGGAATGGAACTGCACCTGCAAACCCAGCTCTGCAGGACTAAAATGTTGTGCTGAGGGTCTGAGCCCTATCCCAATGTGCCGCCGTGCAGGGAAGCACGCAGCTCTGCTGCTATCGGCTGAGAAATCACGCAGTGGTGGCTGAGCCCCGTGGCACACAGCTTCACTGTGCCAAGGCAGGGCTGGGCACAGACACCTTCCTCAGCACTTTGTTCCAGGCGGTGGGCGGGGGAGCAGCTCAGGCATGCCTGGCTGCGCCAGCCTTCCCACGGGGATGGATCCGGGCTCGGGGGGCAGTGGGGTGGCTGCCACATCCCCGAGTTGGCTGCAGCCCCAAATCTTCTCCCTCCTGGCACCCGCCATGCTGAGATCTGCTCGCCGGCTGTCAGCATTGGATGGGGTCTGTTTGCAGCCTGTCCTGTTTTCACACATCGGTGCATTTTGCAGCCAAAATGTGATGGTGCGTAGCCAGGAGGTGGGACCTTCAAGCTGGGAGCGTGGGAGAAGAGCTGCAAAGCTCCCTGCGAGGGGCTCAGCACCGCCAGCCTCGGGCCATCTCACACCAGTGATGGAAGATCAGCATGCCTAGGAGAGGGGTGGGTGGGAAAGCACAACCGAGAGCACTTTCACATCCGTTAGCAGCAGCAGGTTGGGAAACACCCACATGTGCGGAGCGTGGAGCAGGAATGCACGTACTGCTGGGTGCCTGTGGGGCTGGGGCCTGGGTGGGCTCAGAAATGCCCTTGGCTGAGCGCACAGTCCAGGCAGGGGAGGGAAAACGGTGACTTCTGATTCTGTGTTTGGGCTGCGGGGCACAACTGGGGTGAGGGAACCACCAAGAAGGGCAGTGGGAGGCTATGGGGATGTCATAGGGAATCATTGCAAGAGGGGGCGTGGGGCAGCCTAGAAGCCATGGGGAGCCTCACGGGGCAGCCCTGGGGGGCGCGGGGCACCCAGAGCCCGCCGAGCAGCGCTGCAGAGCGCCCTGCCCCCCACCGCCCCGCGCCTGCCCCAACGCCACTGCGCATGCGCCGCTGCTGGCCTCGTTCCCCCTCCGCTCCCACTTCCGCTGGCGGCCGTCCCACCTCCCTCAACCGGAAGAGCGGTTGCAGGAACTTCCGTAGTGATCACGTGGGGACCATCATGGCTGCGCTTGGTGAGTACGGGTCCGGGCGGTTCCGGGTCCGGCGCGGTTTAAGGCCCGGCTCGTTGCGGGCCGCTTCGCTCCGGTTCCGGCCCGGTTAAGGTCCCGGTCCCTCTCGGGGATCTCACCCGGCCGGCTCCGCTTCCACCCCAACCCCCGCCCCGTGGGGCCGAGCCTCACCGTCACGCGGCCGGGCCTACTCTCCAGGCCCATCGCCGCGCGGGCCTCACTCGGACGCCTCGGATCCTTTCTTTACACAGGAACGTGAGCAGAGAGCCGTGACCCCGAGCTCCCGATATGGTGACCGAGGAGGAGGTGGCCGCCATCGGCCGCACACTGCTGGATGCTGCCCAGCCGCTTCCCGCCCGCTTCCGCGCCCTCTTCACCCTCCGCAACCTGGGCGGCCCCGCGGCCATCGACTGCATCGTGCGGGGCTTTGCCGACAGCTCGGCGCTGCTGAAACACGAGCTGGCTTTCTGCCTGGGCCAGATGCGTGACCGTGCCGCCATCCCCGCTCTGCTCGGCGTGCTGCAGGACAGCCGGCAGGAGCCCATGGTCCGGCATGAGGCAGGTATGGCCCTGCAGGACACCGAGAGCATGTCGCCACATCCCCTGGCCCAACCGGTTGGCCAGGCCTCGTCTCCCCACTGGCCGTTGCCATGGCAGTGGTTTTTGGGGAGGAGGACATGGCAGTGTGCCCGAGTGGCCAAGAAGGCCGATGGCATCTTGGTTGTGTCAGCAATAATGCGGCCAGAGGGAGCAGGAGGTGATCGTCCCGCTGTACTCAGCTCTGTGAGGCTCAGTGCTGTGCTCAGCGTTGTGTTCCTCACTACAAGAAAGACGTTGAGGCACTAGAGTGTGTCCAGAGAAAGGCAATGGGGCCGTGAGGGAATGGGGTGGGTCAGTGTGGAGAAGGGGAGGCTCAAGGGGCCTTGTGGCTCTCTCCAACTCTGTGAAAGGAGGTTGTGGTGAGGCAGGCTCAGCCTCTGCTCCTGGGTAATCCTATCCCAGAGGTAGGCCTTGACCAGGGGATGTGGTGAGTGGACATGGTGGGGGTGGGACGTCAGGTGGAGTTCATGACCTCAGAGGTTTTTTCCAACCTTGTGATTTTGCCTAGGGAGGCTGTGGATGCCCCATCCCTGCAGGCATTCAAGGCCAGGCTGGATGTGGCTCTGGGCAGCCTGGGCTGCTGGTTGGGACCCTGCACACAGCAGGGGGTTGGAACTGGTGATCATTGTGGTTCTTTTCAAGCCAGGCCATTCTAGGATTCTATGATTTTGGGGTGTTGGGGCACAGCTGCATCCCTGAGGCTCTCCTGGGTTTCTCACGCTGGTCAATGTGAGGGAGAGCAGACAGCCTGAAACACCCCCACCTGCTGACATCTCCTTTCCTCAGGTGAGGCCCTGGGTGCCATTGGGGATCCCGAGGTGCTGGACATCCTGAAGCACTACTCGGAGGATCCCGTGGTGGAGGTGAGGCTGTGAGGGTGGCAGTGCCATGGGGTCAGCACTGTTGGCATGGGAGGGTGACACTGGGGACTACAGGGTGACACAAGGGACTGGAGCCGCCGTTGCTGTCACAGCCACGCAGCCCTGCTGCTCAGAGGAGCTCTGTGCTTGCTCCCAGCCCTGCGCAGTGCCTCCACACCGTGTCCCCGTCCCCACAGGTGGCAGAGACGTGTCAGCTGGCCGTCAGGAGGCTGGAGTGGCTGCAGGAGCACGGGGAGGAGCCGGGCAGCAGCCCCTACCACTCGGTGGATCCTGCTCCCCCCGCCGAGGAGACAGATGTGGCCGCACTGCACGCAGCGCTCCTGGACGAGTCGCGCCCGCTGTTCGACCGCTACAGGGCCATGTTTGCCCTGCGGAACCTGGGGGGCCGTGATGCTGTGCTGGCACTGGCTGATGGTAAGGGCTGGCCTGGGGCTGTCTGCTCGCTGTAGATCTGCACATGTTAATCCACGATTGGATTTCCCAAATCCAGAGCTGCGTGGCTGCTTGCACTGCTGCTTCTAGAGCTGCCTGTCGCTCTGCTCGCGGAGCGCCCGGTGCTCTCTGCTGTCTCACAGCCCCCCTCTCGCTCACTGTCTCTGGGGTTTGCCAGGTTGTGCTGATGTTTCCTGGGACTGGGGAACTGCTTCCCCATTCTGGAGGGGTTGAGGACATCCAGCCTCACTCTGAGCTTTGGGAGTCATTCTGGAGGAGGGCGTGCATGTGCCCTGGAAGGGAAAGGGGCAGAGCAGAGTCCATGACCCTGCTGGTTACCTTCTGCAGCCCCAGGGAAGCCGACGGTGCACTCCAGCATCAGTGTGAGCCAAGGGTTTGGAAACTCTGCCGTGGCTTCCCTGTCCCACAGCAGCACAGGAGGGCTGTGAGGCAGTTAGCAGTGAGGCATGTGGGGGCAGGAGGTGGCACGAGGCTGCATCCCCTTCCCCCAAAGCCCCACGCGTCTGGGGAAAGTCAGCGCCCAGTGTCTGCCTTCTGGCTTCCTCTGCCCCACAGCGTTTGGATCTGGGGCTCAGCTCACGTTTGGGGGACTCACTCTCACCTCCTCCCTCAGGGCTCCGTGCTGGCAGCGCTCTCTTCCGCCACGAGATCGGCTACGTGCTGGGCCAGATGCAGGACGAAGCCTGCGTCCCACAGCTGACCGCCGCGCTGTGCAGCCGTGCTGAGAACCCCATGGTGAGGCACGAGTGCGCCGAGGCGCTGGGCTCCATCGCGCGGCCCTCCTGCCTGGAGACCCTGCGTGCCTTCGCCCAGGACGAGGAGCGGGTGGTGCGGGAGAGCTGCGAGGTGGCTCTGGACATGTATGAGTACGAGAACGGCCCCCAGTTCCAGTATGCGGATGGGCTCTGCAGGCTGCAGGCCTGAGCCCAGCTGGGCCTCCTGCCTCCTTCCCCCGGGCGCGCTTTCCCTGCTCGCCTCCGTCGGCGCGGATCCGTGGCGGAGGCGGAACTGGGTTTGCTCCCTGGCACAATTACAGCCGCCTTCTGCATCCAAACCCAGGCTGAGCTGCTACTTGCTCCCCGTTTCCTGGATCCGCGCCGTTCCCCGCCCGCAGCCTGGCTCAGGGCTTGGAGTGGGTGGCTGGTGCTGCGTGTCGCAGCCCATCGCCGCACCTCGGAGCGAGCTTCCCCCACCTGAACTCTGCTGGAGGGGTCGGGGGGGCTGCAGGCAGCGGCTCCGGTGGGTTGGAGCTGTGCGATGCCTCGAAATCGCCCACGGTGCTGGTGCAGAGCCGGCTTCCTCTTCATCTCTGCAGCTGCTGGAGGATCTCTGTGGGTTTGGCCTCTCCTGTCGGGGCAGGCTGGCTCTGTCTCGCGGCAGCCTTTGCCCTGGGATGGGGTTGGTTTCGTGGCACGGCTCGGGAGATTTGGCTGCGGTTTTTCTTTCTGCGGGGAATGGCGCTGTGATGAAGGCTCAGGGTGAGGCAGAGCCTGCCTGGACTTCCCCTGTGTTTAACCAGAGCTGGATGGCTGCCTCTGCCAGCTGCTGCCAGCTCCAGCACCCAGATCCGTGGGGCACGTGGGGGGCTGGGAGGAAATAAAGCGGCAGCTGCGTGGCTGGGGGGGTCTGGCCGTGGCTGGGGTTCCCTCGGTCTGCATCCACAGGGAGGGGGACGCGACGTGGGCAGGGAGCAACCCCACAGCGTGCGGCTGAGCCGTCCCTGCAGTGCTGCAGTGCATCCTGCTGACGGTGCTTTCCCCTTGACCAAAGTCTCTGTGAGTCACTCCGCTCGATCCTCTTAGCCCGTAAAGCTGCTGTTCCACTCCGTGTTGTCCCCTGTGGGGAGAGGGGGGGTGGGAGAGGGCAGTGGGGACCCCCAGCGTTTCCCACTCTGCTCCAACCAACCCAGAACCCTGTGGGGGGGTCTTTGTGTGGATGTAACTTCGGGTCACCCAACGTGTGCCATCGCGCAGCTTCCCGCCTTGCCTTCTTCACCCCACGCAGCACTGCTGGGCTCTGGGTACCACTGCACTGCACTGCAGGGGACGGGGCAGAGATGTGGGACGTGGGACGCAGATGCGCTGCCTCCCCGTTGCGAGGCAATGGGCTCCTTATCAGCGCAAAGATGGGAGTGCTGAGCAGTGATTGCTGCCGTGTTTGCCCCCGGTTATCGCACAGCTCCAACCCTTGCTCTCTGCCTCCAACCCTCCCATTTTTGCATCGTGCTGAGCGAGCAGGAGAGGTGCCAAATTTTTTGCCTCTCCTCCTCATTCCTCCTGCAAAAAAAACCAACCAACAACAACAACAAAAAACCCCAACCCTCAGCTCCTTCAAACGCTTTTTAAGTCCGAGTTGGAACCAATCTGGCATTTTTGTGGCTGGGATCTGGCGTGGGCGCAGCAGAGCCGGGATGTTGAGAAGGCGCTGAGCCTCGCACCTCCGGCCCTGCGGGGGGGGGGGGAAAGGTTTTGGGTTGTTCCAGAGGTTCTGCGGCTGCTTCTTGCCCCCCTCCCCCCGACCCGCAGCCCTGTTTTGCGCGGCTCTGAGCACTGCAGCGTGTTTCACACCATCTGCTCCAAGCACTCGGGGCCAGAATGCGGGGATTTAGGCAGCGGCGGGGGGAGCGAGCCCGCCCTACCCCACTCCTCCTTTACGGGGATTCCCTGCGGCCCGTTCCCCCTCGTGCAGGGACGCCCATCCCCTGCAGTCCTGCCCCAGGTGTGGATTTTGGGCATCCCGGGGCATCTCCGTCTGCCCCTCCGTGCTCAGCCCCCCCCGCCGTGCCCGGATTACCACGCTAAGCTCCTTCCCACGGGCGCTCTGCCCTCGGTGCCATCCATCTCCCAGTGCGGGGACAGTGGGGACACGAGGACCCCGATGCCGCTTGTCCCCTGCATCCCCCCACACAGCGACAGCCAGCGATGGCCCACCCTGGGCTCCCTGTGCCACGACACCTGCTGCAGTCCCCCCCCGAGGAGGACGGGGTGCTGTATGTGGAGTACAAACCCCCGGCCCTGGACAGCATCCGCCTGCCCCGCTACGCGCTCTACCTGCTGATGGCCATCTCCCTGGTGCTGGTGGTGGCGTACGCCATCGTGGGGCACCTCATCAAGGACCTGGTGCACGACTTTGCCGGTGAGCAACGGGAGGGGGATGCAGGTGGGGGTCCCCAAACCCGTCTGGGAAGTGGGGCAGCGGGAATAGGGTGGCCAAAGGGGCTGCTCTGTGCCCCCAAATGGGTGCAGGATGAGCGTCTCTGCGCGCAGCGCTTTGTACTGGGCACCCATCTGCACGGCATGGGGTGGCGATGGGGGCGCACGCACTGCTGACAGAGCTCTATCCCCACAGATTGGGCATTCGGACCCAAAGCGGAGGAGAAGGCAGTGATGGGTGAGGGGAGCACGCCCGAGGCGGAGGATGGGGCTCAGGGTGAAGGTGTTGGGGCGCTGCCGGGCATGGAGGCCCCATCGCCGCTGCTCTGCGCCGCCCCACGCAGCTCCATCTCCTTCGTGGATCCGCACAAGAAGTGGTTTTTCTAGGGGCACAGGGGCTGCACCCACTGCTGGCACTCCGTCCCCATCCCCACCGTCTCTGTGTGTGCATCTCAGGGCTGCTATCGCGCCGCACCCCAATAAATCCACGCTGTGCCCTTGGGGACCCCGACCTTCGCACGGGAACGCACCTGGGAATGGGGCAGACACGAGGACATGAGACAGACATGTGGACTCGGATGGGGGCTCAGATACTTGGACCCAGGTGTGGGTGTCGATGGGGCGGTGCTCCGTGGCTGCCCCCAAGATGGGTTTGGTGGGGACAAAGCGCCCCCGAGCCCCACTGTGCTGCAGGAGGGGGCACAGACCCCCCTCACACTGGGACAGGGCGCCCATCCCCAGGCTCCACGCGGACCCCATGGGCGCTTCTCACAGGAGGAGCCCCTGCACAGCCCGTGCGTCACCCAGGGGTGCCACCAACCCCCCTGGACCTGAATGGCCTCCAAGGGAAGGAGGAGGCAAAGCGGAGCTGCCTGTGATAAGGCTTTGCTGATAAGAGCACTGACAGCACATGGGTGTGGTGCGGGCACTGCTTGGATGTGTGATGGGCAGAGAGAGAGAGGTGGCACTGGGCTGCCTGGGCCCTACACCCGTCCATCCATCTGTCCATCCACCCACCCATCTTCCTATCCGTCTGTCTGTCTATCCACTGCTCTTCCATGTTTTCACCTATTCATCCATCCATCCACCTTCATCTCTCTCTCCCTTCCTTCCTTCCTTCCATCCCCCCACCCTTCCATCCATCCACCCCCCACCCCTCCCTCCCTCTCTCTCTCCCTCCCTCCATTCCCGGTCTCCCTTTGGTGCAGTGTCGTAGCAGAGCAGCAGTTCCACCACCCAAGGGTTAAAGGGATCGGCGTTGCCATGGAGTTGGTGGCACTTGGTGGCACTCGCCCTCCTGAGCCCAATAAAAGCCGCCCCTTGGCCTGGTGCAGGGCAGTGCTGTGCAGGGATCAGGGCCACGATGCCGCGTGTCCCACAGCTCCCGCTGCTGCTGCTGCTGCTGGCGGCCCTCACTGCCACCACCCAGGGACAGAGTGAGTGCCACTGCTGCCATCCCACCCCCCAATGCCACAACCCGGGCTCAGGGTGGCAGGATTTGGGGCTGGGGGGGTTCTGTTCTCCCATAGGGGTGGGTCGGGGGTGCTGGGGGGGTCGGCACCCCGCTGTCCCCACTGACCACGGTGTCCCCCAGCACCCCAAGCTCCCTGCACCCAGGATGGAGAGTGCTGTCCCTGTGGGGCAGGGGTCCCCCAAGGCTGGCACCATTGTCCTCATCCCCACCCATGTCCCCATTGCAGCCCCCGACCTCACTCCTGTCCCTCTTCCCACCTCTGTCCCCATCCCCCTTGATGTCCCTTATCCCCATCCTGTCCCTATTGCCATCACCATCCTTGTCCCCACTGCTGTCCCCACTGACATCCCTACCCCAACCACCTGCCCCTATTCCTGTCCTCACCTCTGCCCCCATCCCTTTCCCCAGCTGCTCTCCCTTTCCCCATTGCTGTCCCTGACCCCTTCCCTACACCTGTCCCCAACCCTGTCCCCATCCCCTTCTTTGTCCCCATCCCCTTCTTTGTCCCCATCCCTGTTGCTGCCCGCACCCCATTCCTGTCCCATCCTCATCCCTGTTCCCTGACCCTCATCCACGTCCCCGTCCCCACGGCCGTTCCCACCCCGTCCTTTGTTCCCATCCCTATCGCTGTCCCCATCCCCGTCCCTCAACTCATCGCTGTCCCCATCGCCACCGCTGCCCGTCCCCACGTCTGTCCCCATTCCCTCCCCTCCCATCCACGTCCACATCCCCACTCGTGTCCCCGCTCCCCCCAGCCGCGGGCTCTCGGCAGCTGCAGCCGTGGCTGATCGGTCTCACGGCGGTGGTGGTTTTCCTATTCGTGGTTTTCGTGCTGCTGCTGGCCGGGCGGCTTTGGCGACTGCGGACGCGCAGGTGGGTCCTCGCGGGGGGGGGGGGGAGGGTTGGGTTGGGGTCCGTCCCCCGAGCGCCGCTCATCCGCGATGTCCCCACGCAGAGAACGCGAGGACGACTCGGAGAAGCGGTCGACCCACAGGTAGTGCAGCCCCAGCCGCACCGCCGTCCCATTTTCCCCCGTGGAGCGCCCTGAAGGGTCACCCACGCGTGACCCCCGTGGGATCACCGCTCTGACCCCGCTGTCCCCGCAGCATGGAGCGCGCAGCCTACAGCAACGCCGCGGCCGAGAAAGACAGCGACGACGAACGGGAGAAGAGCAAAGCCACGTCGCTGTGACACGCGTGGGCTTCCCGGGCTGCTCCGTTCCGCGCCGCGTTTTGCGGAGCTCCGTTCGGCCGACGGCAAAACCCGGAGTGGATCAATGGATCGGAGCGGGATGGAGCGCGGGGGGGGGGGAGGGCGCCCGGGGACGACCCGACGCAGGGCGCTACTGGGTGTGTGCGGCCCGGGGGGGGCTGTGGGGGTCCTGAGTAAAGCTGCCGGGCCGCAGTGTGAGGTGTGGTGTCACGCGTGGGGACTGAGAGGTGCGAGGGGGGGACAGAACGGGGGGGGCACCGGGAGGGGGTCGGGGGGGGAGGAATGTCACGTGGCTGAGGGGTGATGTTGGTGGGGGGGGTCGGCGCCCCACGTGCACCCAGAGCTGCAGCCACGCGTGTCCGTGTTTGTGCCCCAGCTGCGTCCCGAGCCGGGACGGCCGGCCCTCAGCCCTTCCCCCCCGTATCCCCACGGCACCCACCCGTGTCCGCACCCCGACGTGTCCCATCCTCGCGTGGGGACACCCACAGCCCCCCTGCATCCCATTGCATCGACCCCAACCCCGACCCTCATCCGAAACTCGACCCCCTCTCCCTCTGCCCACCCCCACGGAGGCGCAGCCAGGCCGCACATCGCCCACCCGCGCCCCCCCCCCCCCC